GCCGAACTGTAAACGATAGAGAGATAAGGAATAAACAAGAGAGCGGCTTGAATATATAGTTCCGGATTGCTGGTTAAGAGGATTCCGAATTTGAATCACAAATATTTAGGTCCCCTCGTATTTTTTTCTTGCTCTTACACACTTGAGAAATCCTCATCGCGATGATATTTGGCGTAGCGCGATACGGTCGGTGAAGAAAGTGTCATCGATTCATCGTCGATGACATCGAACAAAAGATATGTCGACGAGAGAGTGCGTTCTTCGCTCTAGTCTCTAGGGGAATGATGACGAACCTGTATACACGGTCTTTGTTTCGCGGTTACGCAGCATGGTCGCGAACAAAAGGACTCTACGGTACGATCGAACCAGGCCCTTTCCAGCCATTACCATAGATCTTTCGATCATTTTCGCTCCCTATATTTCGTTGCTAATGTATTTTCTATGGACAAATCGTATATAACGATTTATATTGATAATCCGCGTACATCGTCCAACAATATTCAGACGATATCATTGTTATAGACACGTTCTCGACACTTGTCCACTCGATCATTATCAATTGTTCGATCATTGTCCGCTATCTTTAAAGACACAAATCTTTTAAAAACGAGACATTGATAATCGTGGGGAGGGCAATCTCTTCCTTGGCTCGAAATTGTAAATGCGAAACAACCTCGAATCGTTGATAGAGATATCGTGTTTTCTAACGGGGAGACGGGAAACTGTCACCCGATAGGTGCAAACTCGTTGAAAAAAATGCTCCATTCGAGCGAAACGCGTTGGTTGCGCGGGTGTAACGCGATATTTCGACTCGTTATCGAGCGTGGTCTCGTTACACCCTGTGCACCTTTCCTCCGTATCCCCAGGTCGCTCGGTTTTTTCTACCTCGGGTATTAGTTTTTAGGTCAAGGATGGTGGAGTCGTGCAGGCTGGAAACTCGGTTCGCGCGCTGAAAACGGGAGAGGAGGAGGGTGGGTAAACGGGAGAAGAGGAGCGAGGAGAAACACTTGAGTGGAAACGGGCTTTTCGTAGCCAGCATGAAAGAAAGCAAACGCTGCTCTTCCACGATGCACTGCAATAATTGAAGCGCCGTCGTTGCGAGAAAGAAAGAAAAGGGAGGCAAACTCTCGTTTCAACGGACGAAAGAAGTTTTTACGCCTTCGTGAAAGCGCGCAACGAATGAATCGATTGTTCACGCTTCCGCCTTGGATTTCACGCATCGCGAGACGTTTAACGCGCGTAATAGACGATCCATTTTTCCCCCCCTCCTCTCTCTTCTATTTACCATTTAAACTTAACAAATCTCGATAATATCCGGCTCGAAACGAAATCGAGAGAGAAGGAAGAGGACGCGTGCTTTGTTGGACTAACTGTGATACGTTCGTATACGGCTCGGCGTATATACACGCGTGTAAGTACACGAAGGCGTGCATGCGTACCAGCACGCTCGAACACGCAGCATGCACAATGCGACGCACTGTTCGGCACGTATTGGCTGCCACGGTCAGACAGCAGGAGTATGGAAACCGGCTGCGCCCGATACTACCTTCTTTATTTTACCTTCTCTCTCTTGGATATTTCCCCACGTCGGAGTTTAATTCATGCAACGTTGAATCACCAACTACCAGATGCTCGACGGACTCGTCCTGCTAGTTTCGACCGGTCCCCGACCGACGACATCGCCTCTCCACGGTCCATCAAAATTCTACCAGACTTTTGACGATAATAATACGGCTCACCTAGCATGAACCAACACGGTTTCGACGATAAATCTCTCGGAACGATCGATTCGTTTTGCAACTGCGCGTTGTGCCGCGTCGTCAATCGTAAACTCCGTTCGAGCTTGTTCGATTCCATCCGCCTCGAGTTCGATCGAGTATGCGAGTCGTGTTGGCACTCGCGTCCTCGCGTCGCCGGAAGTGGTGCCGGCCTCTTACAAAAGCGACCGAGGCGTACGTTCTTTCTCACCCCCTCGCCTCGCTTATTCCTTCCTACAGACTTTTCTCTCCTCGCTTTTGACGCGATCTCCTCACCAATGACACGGCAATGGCGATGGTTCAAGGGCGAAGCGACCGACCACCACCGACCCTCGTCCCCCCCAGTCGTCTTGACGCGACTCCGAGACCATAATTTCCTCCCTGTCCCTTTACCCCTTACCCCGTTTTTGCTTTCTTTGTCCTCCGCCTCGTCCTTCCCCCTTTTCACCTCCTTCCTTTCCACGCGTCCTCGACGCATCTCCGTGCCGGGAATCACGGTAAGAGTCAATTAGTCTGCGCGCAAGGTGCGGCCAAAAAGTTCTTCTTTCTCTCCGATCGATCGACCGACCGGCCGACCGAGCTCGCCTAACGCCATTCGTGTCGCGAGAAAAAATTCTTCTCCGCCACGTACGCTCCTATTCTCCTTCAGTATTAATTGCACGTTTAGAATCGATCGTTAACCGCGTTATCGGTCGACAACGTATCTAGAGTGGAATTGAATCGATTTTGTGCGGAACACGGGCGGAACACGGCGACTCGTTAACGAACTTTTAACGTCGTTACCGATCATTAGTTCTCGAAGCATTTGCCACGTCCCGAATGATTTTATTTTCCAACAGAAAAAGCTCGGGAAGAGGGTGGCTCATGGGACACCTTGCGCTGTTCCTAGCCAACCCCCTGGACGATATCTGCCATGGGGGCGTTATCGATCGGCCAACCCTCTGTTTCCACGGTTTCACGGCGGCCCTTATGCGAGCTCTTATAACCCCATATATCCCGAGAAGGATAACTTAACATCGTTATGGTATTTTCTCTTGCGTTTTATCCCTCGTTCCTTGCCGGGGAACACGCTTCTCCTCCTCGTCTATCCCGACCATATTGGCCTCTGCGTATTATTATCGATCTTGCATTATCGTGTAAGATTTCCGAGAGAATCGGTCGTCAAAGTTCTACTTGCTAAATGGATTTATATGCCTCTCTATCTATCTTGTCCTGTCCGTTTCTATCCTCGAATTGACGCACGAGACAATTTTTCGTCATGGTCGTTGACCCTACGTTTTGTATCCGTATTAGTTAGCCGAGGATTTCGTGACGCGGCACGCCCAAACAACGCCGCTACTCTCTTTCTCCGCTCCCGTGAATTTATGCAAAAGTTTATACCCGGAGAAAAAGAAATTCTTGAAAAATTAAAAAAATTTCCCAGCAATTGAAAAGTTTGCAGCAAAAAGCGGGGGGGCAGATTCAGTTTCATTCTGTTTTTTCTTTCTTTCTTTCTTTCTTTCTTTCTTTCTTTCTTTTTTTTAACGTCAAATCAAAGTAATAATTTTTACGACCAGTCAAATTTCAATTTCCATTAAATTTTTACGAATAGATTCGCCGCAAAGTTCTCAATCGATCGACTAATTAACTCGGGATAAAAAAGAAAACTTGCTCCATTTTTTCCTCGAGTATTATAAATTTATTCCACCAGGTCGTCGTCCTCTCTCCTCTCTGCGATTACCATGGAAATCACTAGGCGGACATTTTCCACTGGCACGCCGGCATATACGTTCAACCAACCCTTTATGATTGCGCGAACCGTCTTTCCGGCGTTATTGTCTTGTGCGTATGCATAAGCAAGTGGGCGCGCGGCCGTGCGATAAAAATGCAAACACTTCGATCGACGAGACTTAGTATTCCACCTATGTCATGTTATTAGCGGTCGGAGGTGTTCGGTCCGGCAGCCTGGTTAAACGTCGTTTTATTTAATTGTCTTTATCGTAAAAAAACGCGTCAACTGGAGGCCACGCCCATCCGTTGGCGAACGACAGTATAGCAAGTTTGCACAGCGTCACGCAAATCTATCGCGTATGGTATGGTATCGATCCCTCGACTGGACCTCGACCTTGGTCCTTGGAATCGCCTGGTGCATCGACCCCTTCGTGAAACACCCTATATACGTGGCACAGTCAATTTTCGATTACGATACTTGTATTGTAATTAAGTTACAATGGCGGGTCTTTCGCTCCACAGGGGTCCTCCTCGGCTTTGGAGATCGTTTTCCAATCGATCCCTCGTCGACGTCAGGTGCGATTTCTTTCCCGAGGGAGTTATATACAGTATCGGGAGGACAGTAAAAATTGTTTAGTTTCGTTAGCACGAGAGAGTTACGAGGATGACACAGAGACGGAATAGGGGTTGCTATTTTCGTCGTACCATCGCCAACGGGCCGACGCCCTTGCCCGACGATTATGCGATCGACCGTGTACCAATGGTTCCTCCACGCTTTACTTTCCACCCCATGGACTCGTCCCCGTTACGCTGGTGGGCGTGCACAAGGGATACGTAATAAGTCCACGTGCAAATAAGACTCGTAAATCGAATCGAGATCGAACGATAACGAACGGGGCGTACGGAGAAAATTCGTGTATCCTGTTGACGATCGATTGGCAATTTCCGTTCCGATCGCGTAAACTGGATAATCGAAATCCAATTTCCGAGTTATCGAAGAGAACTTTCCTTGTGATTATCGTTTTATCCCGCGTGAGCTTTTCTTTCTCGACGACGATACGATATTTCGAAAATAGAAAAACGCATTTTTCGCGCATTTATTTAAATGTAAAAATTATCGGCACACACATAGGGGGTGATGCGAGCGATCGATAGACGCAGAGGGTTTGAAAAGCTGATGGCGCGAAGGAAAACGAACTGTTGGCTAACCAACTCCCGGAGGAGGAAACGAAAGCACACAAGCGGTAGTTATTGATCAGAAAGGAGGCTCGAAGCCAGTAGCAGCTGAGCCACCCTTATCCTTTTCCTCCGGTTTCGAGACCGTACACGCACGTGACCGTCGCACCCCATTCATAAGAACCCCCAACCAACTCGAGCACCACCCTAACCGGAGCACAGCTGTTGCTACGAGAATCCTGACGATGTCTCCCGATTAATCGAGGTTCCTCGAGAAGTATTATGTTTTTCCCGTAGCGTGGCTCTTATCAAACCGACATGCAATGAACGTCTCCTTTTGTTTCCTTCTCGTTGCAGATTTATCGAAGAACCGTTTCGCCGAATTGCCGGAAGAGGTGACGGAATTCCTGTTCCTCGAAAAGCTCCATCTCTACCACAATGCCATAAGAATAATACCGGAAACTGTGGTGATGCTACAGTCCCTCAACTACCTCGATCTTAGGTGGGTAAGGACAGGAAGTCGAGTGGCCTGGTTCACCGCGTGATGCGGGCTTAGAATTAACTTAGAACGGAGACGGTTTTGTTCGCAGTCGCAACCAATTGACTTCTCTACCTCGGGAGATATGCAGGCTACCGCTGCAAACGTTATTGGTCGCTCACAACAGATTGGCATCTCTGCCGGACGAATTGGGCAGGATGTCGGCGTTGGCCGAGCTCGATGCGGGATGCAACGAAATCACGAATCTGCCACCCCGCATGGGCGATCTCGCGCGACTTAGGTCCTTAGATTTGAGGAGCAACATGATCGTGCACCTGCCTATAGGTAGGTAAACGCTTTTTTCTTTCTTTTTTTTTTTTTTTTTTTTTTTTGTATTTCGAAAATATACTGTCGTCACATTTAGATAAAAAGCGTCGGTCGTCCATGATAAGTAAAAGCTTTCTTTAATTCTTTCCATCACGAGTTTCGTTAAATCGCCGATAAAACGAAACTTGAAATTCGTAATGGTGAAAAACCGATCGTTCTTCGCAGAACTGACGTACCTGAGACTCGTAAAGCTGGATATCAGCGGCAATCGAATATCCGTGCTTCCGAACGAGATGAGGAAAATGAAGAGTCTGGTCGATTTTCGGTTGTCCGATAATCCTTTGACCTCGCCACCTGCCTCGGTGAGCATAAAGAAACGCGATCGAGATCGATCGTCGAATTATCGATCAACTTTCCCCCCTCCCCCTCTGTTTTCGCAGTTATGCATTCGCGGGCGAACGCACATCTTTAAATATTTGGAGAGACAGGCGGCGAAACACGAGAGAGCCAGAGGTGGCCGCGCTAGGAGGACACCTTTGGATGTTAGAGGTCACGCGACTTTGGACACGAGGACCCACAGGCGACACAACGTAGACAGTGGATACAGCACGAGCGACGGCGTCGACAAACGCTGGTCTCAAGAGATTCACAGCGCGGTTAGTTTCCTCGTCCTTCTTCTCGCTCTCTTCCTATCTCTTCGTTTCTTCTTCTTCACCTGGCTCTACAACAAGCTTTTCGGCTACGAAACTTTGTAAATCCCGGTACAGTACAGATAACAGGCCACGTATATATACCACGTGGAAAAACCAGCGTAGTAGAAACTAGTTGCCTGGCAACTACTATTCTCCTGTACTTCTAACTGATCCAAACATGTAGAAAGAACGGCAAAATAAACTTTCAAACGCACGCAACCACGTACACGATTCTACGATTTCTCGTAGTACCTCCTGCTGGACACCTTTTTGCGCGCAGGTGCACGACGGTGAGATTCGAGGGTTGTGGCGTCAAGAATGCTCGCCCCTTTCGATCACGTTGCCTCACGAGACGGGCGTGAATGGATCCTGCAGCGGAACCTCGACTCCTAGTACCATCTCGCCTGGCGAGCACACGTCTCTCGAGGATGAGCTCGGCAAGGTAGGTATCCGAACCGCTTCCGAAGTATCATTCAAGCATCGAAGCGTCATTCGTCTTCAGCTTTTCCAACGTTTTAGCCTTACTTTACTCCAACCGCTGTGCACGAGCGTACATGATACAACGTCTATATTTAGCGAGTGTGAATAGAACTCGCGCGCCCCCCCCTTGAAAATGATATCTGTGTTGTCGAGTCGCGCGCTTGGCCGTCGTTCAAGCCTCGTTGAATGACCTTAACCCATTGAAAGAACTCGTCTGCAACGTCTCTCGCGATTAACGCGCACGGCACGCCAACCGGCGCGCTAGGAATGCGCTCACCTTTCCTCCGCTGATCCCTCTTTCTTTCTCTCTCTCTCTCTCTCTATGTCTCCAAGATGTACCATGTTTACAGGCAATGATACTGCACGATCAATTGGAAAAGAGGAAATTAGAAAGGAGCACCTCGGAGAATGGTGCCGATGTCAGAAGACCGATGACCTCTGGTTTCTATCACGCGTCGATTACGCCACCCGGGTAAGCGAGCTGTTAATAAACCAATCATCGTTCCTGTCACACTGCATTACATGGTTGCCTAGTGATTTTTACTCGTCAATAGAGTAGAGCTTAAGCATCGGTGCTGTTCTTTTACAGTCCCCTCGAATCCGCTCATCTGAATCAAACGTTGCCGGTATCGACCAACACGCAATCCGTGCAACCGTTGCAAACTTCGACCTCTACGAACGCTACCTCGTTGATGAACGGAGACGAGAAAAGGCCGCTCAATCATATTCAAACTTACAGGTATCCTTCTGTATCTCTGTCTCGAAATACGGATAACACGATCGATATTCTACACCGTCGATATTTTTCCCGTTTTAGAGAGTATAAAGAGGCTTTGAGACAACAAAGGGCAAACGAAGGGCCGAGCGTGTACAGGCCGCGAGAACAAGTTACACCGCCAGGCAACGAATCGCAGAACAACTCGGAGACGACGGATTCGGCTAGTAACAAAGACGCGGTTGCTTTGACCGGTAAACAGATCTTCAACGAGGAGAACGCGACCAAGAGACCGGTGCAGAAGGTAACACCGTCACGCATCAACTATCAGAACACGCCGATTATCAACGGTAGCAATAACGAATACAACAATAAGAACGGGAAATACCTCGAGCAGCCGTATAAGAAGCCTAATTCGCCGATCAAAACATCCTCGAGCATTTTATCTTCCAACACGAGTCCAGGACACGCACCTAGATTAGTCAAAACCGCTGTTGGTTACGTGGAAGGTAAAAGAACATTGTGCGGAGAAAATGAAAGAAATGGAATGGTATGATAGATATTGGTATAAAACTATAACGCGATATCGATGATTCGTGTTAGGTAACAAGAGTCCGAACAGGAACGGTGGAAGTCCAAAGTCTCCTCGATCGGTTACGTGGAACAGCAACGTGCCGGAAAAATATTCGTTCACCATGAGAAGAGAGTTCGAGCGTGCCAAGGAGGAAGCTGACTTGATCGAGCAACTTCGAAACGTGGGTATAGGAAAGGACGAAAGGGATCAACTTTCACGCGTTAATTAATTGTCACAACAAGGAAACGGATATTATTAAAATTTGAGTTTGTTTTTAGCATATTGAGACACGGTTGAAGATGGCTTTGCCGGAAGATCTCGCCCCGGCGCTAACGGATGGTGTTGTACTTTGTCACTTGGCAAACCACGTAAGACCCCGATCGGTTGCCAGTATCCACGTTCCTTCGCCAGCTGTGGTAAGCGTTTCTCGGCTAATCTAATCGAGTCGATGATCCACGCTCACGAGTATCAACCGTGTATAACGATTATATTTCATTTCACAGCCCAAGTTGACAATGGCAAGGTGCAGGCGTAACGTCGACAATTTTCTCGAAGCGTGTCGAAAGATAGGCGTTGATGAGGTAAGCCATCGTCCCGATCAATCTTTATTGATCAATTTTTCGAAAATTTTCGTGCTTTGTCTCTCGCTAATGGTCTCCCGCGGCATGTATTAAACCAATTGCTTCTACGTGGAACAAAATCATTTTTCTTTTCTCATTATGACCGTATTCTCGATACTACTATGATCTGCGAACACGTTCGGATCTCTTTGTCGTGGAAGCACGGTCAAAATCCAAGATCGAACGCAAAATCGTAACTAACGCTTCGACAGCAGCCGATACCGTTTGTCCATGATATTTCCAACAACTACTAGTCAGTCCCCGATTTTTATTCAGTCGATTCGTCTTTTTTTCAAAATCTCTATCGTTCCAAAACAAAGAGAGAGAAAAAAAAATAAATAAATATCGGAAAGAAGAAAAATGCAAGAATTCGAAGGAGGAAGTGGAGAGGAGCCAAGAAAGAAGCTTTAGTTGCATGCGCCTCGTATTCGCTTTTGTGTCGCTCGTCGCTTCATCGGAGAACGCTTTAAACGCGTCTCGTTCTAGTGTCTTCACTTCTCGGCTTTCCTACCACGTATCAACGTTTCGATTGGCATATATATATTTCAATTTTTTGACCAAGCACATCGAAGAATTTTTTAAAACTGTGATTCAATTTCCATCTTCTCGAGATAGGAACCAGAGTTGGGTATTTTTTTTTCTTTTTTTTTTTTTTTAATTTTTTTTTTTTTCAAAATTATCATTATCAAACAACGAAACGATACCCAAATCTGGTAGACACCATTTCTCGATGAAGCACCTAAATCGAATAATTTGAAGCAAAATTAAAAGGTTCGAATCGTTGATTTCGAGGAAGGTGACCCCGCTTCGAAGAAGTAAAAATGATAAAAGAGCAGAGATCCATTGTATAAAAAAAAAAAAAAAAAAAAAGAAACGTCCAGCGAACGTAGTAGAGACTGGGACTGAGTAGTATCGTTGTTGGTGTTGCAGGAGGTGTTAATGGACGCGGACGCAATCATGGACGTGGGTTACATGGACGCGTACGGGCTGGAGGCTCTGGCGCGTCTCGTCTCCGCTCTTCTCCTTTTCCGTGACGAGGGGGAGAACGATAAGAACGAAGAATCGGCCCCAGGTTCATCCCATACGATTCAGGATCGCGTTTTATCCGCGATGCTTTTTCTCACATTCCTATCCTCCCTCGTTCTGCTCTATTTATTCCCCATTCCCGATTAAAAATAAGAAAAAAGAGCGACCAAGACGAGCACGCCAGAGTGCAAAACGATGGAACAAACGACGCTCGCAAGAGAAAAGCACAATCGAAGATTACAATCTGGGATTACTCCGATATATATCGAGTATTAATAACGAGATTTGACAAGCGCGATACGCGACGCGACGTGGCGCGACACAACGACTCGGCCAGAACGATTTCTTAGATAATTTCATCAGTAATCGGTATTTCTCGATTCGTTTGCCAAGCCGTCGAGTCGCCCGAGATATAATTTTATCGCGCGACACTCCCCTCGTCTCTTCCATCCAATTTAGTGTTCTTAGAGCGGCACGATATTTTTATAATTTCTCTCTCTCTCTCTCTCTCTCTCTCTCTCTCTCTCTCTCTCTCTCTCTCTCTCCCTTCCTTTTTCTTTACATCCTCTCGTTTGCTTTACGTCGGGGTGTGAAGAAAACGGGGTCGAGTGTCGCGCGGAATCATCACCTCCTTGGCTAATTGCGAGCTTATTTTAACCACGATACACAAGAAACGGGGAAAATTGTATCCAAGTTATTTATCGTTCGATTTTTCGAAGTGTCTCGTTCTTTCGATTCGATGTAATTTCTTAGCTTTTCTTTCTATTGTGATTTTTAATTCATTTCGTTAAATGAATCGTCATCGAATTCACTCGAGACACTCGAAACTTTTTGAAGAAATATTCTTGAAGACAAACGTTAGTTTAATCCAATGAGCTATTTCAAAAGAAAGCTTTGCTTGTACGTTCGACTTAATTTATATTCGATTCTCAGCTCTAGCTTAAAATTAATTAGCTTAGGGTTGTTCCGTTTGTTTGCCTCCATCGTTGTGGCTTGAGGGAGACGCTTAAAAATTCCGACGAATTAGTATTCGATAGGCCCTTAAGTATTCGAAAGGCAGCTTGAATCATTACATTTAGTCCGCCTAGTTATAGAGAGACCGCTACGTAGTGCGTAGGTTAGTTAACCGTTTTTTGTTTTGGCATAAGGTGTTCGACAAGAACTCGAGCAAATTATATTTCGTTCTCGAGTTTTGGTCGTTAAATACGATTATTTCACGATGAAAGAAGGTATATAAAAAAAAAAAAAAAAAAAATCAAAGAGCGCAATCAAAGTTGAAAAGACGCTCGCATATCAAATGGTATCGCCTGTATGTATGTACCTTGAACGAATGAATCGTTCGTTTTGATCGCTGGAATCGTTACGATCGGTGGGATCTATCGTCGAACAAGATCTATCGAGAAAATAGTATTTTGCTACGCGAAGGGATGATGGCCGAAATATGATTAATTGGTTATTCAATAATATTTCGTTCGGGAAATTTCTCATCTTTCAATGTTTTTAAATTCTGATTTTTGTTTCGAATATATATATATATATATATATATATAAAATCTCTTTCGGAATCTCTCGAAATCATTATTGTGGAATCAAGGAAAATAACGAAACGAAAACGAATAGAAACGAATTTTTTAACTGTGTATTCTTAACGGCATCATCCAGCACACGTAACGTGTTTTGAATCACCAAGATGGCGAAGTTCAAAGAGATGAAAGGGGAAAGAATCTTCGTGTGTACCTCAAATGGTAGTATTTTTTTATTGTTCGACCAATATAAATCGCCTACGGCTCTTTCAGGATTGATGGGTCTGTGATAGGTAGCCTTCGAGTACTACAGGATTCGCAAACAAGGTGCTAGAAATCTCTTTATGTTCAAAGATTTCCTATTTTGGTACGTAGGTTTAACGCACAATTCGAACTCGAAAAAGGAATTCTTATTTGACATTGTTTTATTGTTTACGAGTTACGATCCCTCCCCGAAGGGATCGCGGCAACGATAAATTTTGCTTTCTCTCGCTCTCGAGATGAAAATGAGACAAGAAAATTTTTTTCGTTGGAAGAGGAACGTTTAACGAGAGCGCTCACACCTCACACCGACCAAGCAATTCGGTCGTAGCCTAAGATAATCTCCATATTTTCGTATAATTCGCGTTTGACAAAGAAAGAAAGAAAGAACAAAAAGAAAAAATAAAAAAAAAAAAAAAATTCGTAGTAGACGTAAAATACGTATATCGTTTAGAATATACACGCGTCTAATTTATTCTACATATATTCGTACGATAAGAGTTATATTGTATATGATAAGGAATTTGAGGAGGAACGAATCGCTTAGGGTGCGATTACATTTGAGATTAAAATTTTCGAAAATCGTTCCCGTTAACAATTCTCGAGAGTTTTATTTTTAAATATATCGACATCCTCAGATCGAGTCTTCGAATCGCGAGAAATCTTTGCTTCCGGTTGTCACTCCACGGACACGCGTCAAGTTGAAAAACGAATTGTTTTGCAGTAGTTTAGTGCCAAACGCGTCAGACAGTCGAACCGTGTAAGTACTTACAGACAATACGCATCGCGACTCTGTTTCTCCCAGATGCACAATTTCACATTGCTGCTAGCGTGTCGAACGAAACAATACGAGTGAACACGTGCTCCCACAACGTATTCTAAACGAAACAATTCTGGGAAATCGATCGAGAATGTACAAAGAAAGAAGACGAGAAACTAAATGGTTTCCATTACGGTCTAATACTTGATGATTTACTTGTAGAAAATTTTTTTTTTTTATACGGTTGACTCTTTTTAATACGAAAATATTCTGTATTTTGAACTAATAATGATCGCATAGATGCGCGTGTTTACAAGATAACAGTAACATGACGTAAAGAACGAATACATATATTGCAAGTATGTCAACGTACCATCAAATTCAAGGCGAGCTGCATCTTCCAGAATCATTTATTCAGTTTCTTTTCGTTTCTATTCGCGCAGCTCGCATCGATCAGCGGCAGAAAGTTTATTTCTAGTCTTTTGTGTATTGTCCTTCTTAGATATCTACTCCTATCTGGTTATATTTTTATTTTTATTTTTTATTATATATTATATATTTTTATTTTTATTTTTTAAAATATCTTGAAATATAGGTTCGATAGGTTTTTTAACTTTTAAGTAAAATTAGGAAATTTTATTTACCTAATTTGTACAGATCTTAGAACAAGATCTAATTTATTTTTCTTATAAAAATTTTAATTTTTACATACGTTTCAAAGCAGCTAGATAGGATATTTTTCATTAATCAAGAAGAACAATATTATTTAAGTTTATCTTCAGGTATTTAAGTTTATCTTCAGTTCTAGTCAAACTCGACTTGTTCTTTTTTTATTATAATCTTTGTTTTCATCTAAGTTATATACGTTTCTTATTCACTGGTGACTTAACGCTTAACTCGTTACTTAATTTTATGTTTGTTCCTTTTATATGTATTCTTCCACATCTTTTCCGATCAATTTCGTCGTCATTCGTCGACTGTTTGGGCGTGTAAAGTTCTCATTCCTCGAAAATAGAACGCGTTTAAGAAAACTAATTCGTACTAAAACACATTATTTCGCACAACATCAGGTTCAATGACGACAATTATGTATCAGTATTATTTCTTCGTGTTACAGATCGGACAAGACTTAATTGCATCGAATTAATCGCAACCATAAGACTGCTTATTTCATTTTAGTTTATCGTCTCTTCTGTGCCCTGCCGCAATGGTTTTCTTTTCTTTTCTTTACGATTAGTTTTCGCTTCCGTAAGAGGCTGCGTCCTTCTCTCTCTCTCTAATCGCGGAAAGATGAAAATGACAGAAAAGAGGCGCGATAAGGAGACCGAACACGAGATCATTCCGTTGCATTTTAGCTTGTATAATTGTATAATTTTTGTAAAGAACAGAGAGAAAAGAGAGCGTATATATACATATTATAAAATAGAGTATATTATATTATATTATATATATTATTATATTATATTATATTATATTATATTATATTATATTATATTATATTATATCATACTGTATTGTATGGACCACAGATATATGGTACGTTGATGCTACGTTTCTCTTTGGTTTTTTAAATTGTATACGTCGCAGACTGTGAGCTTAAAATCTTAATCGCTTTTTCTAAACTCGGTGCTTCGTTTTTTATATCTTGTTGTTTTTTTAAGCTTAAGCTTTCTTGTACAATTTTATCGGAAAGGGAATAATTTTTCCTCTCTATTGTTTAATTCTCGGAACGATCGCGCTCGTCCAACGATTCAACATCGTCCACACGTACGACCAATCTTTTCGTGATCGTTGAACGATCTACGACACGATCGCTGAATGGAACGCGATCGTTCTTTCTGTATCTCTCTCTCTCTCTCTCTCTATTTTCTCTATGATCGAATCTGGATTCGCGACCACGTTCGCCGAATGATTTCACGGTGACTGTGATAACGGTGAACGTGGGCGGTGTATCTCTTGCTTCATTTATACACGCTATACGCACAAAGGGAACACGATTACACTGCCAGAGCGAGTCGATTCCGATTGCAATTCATTGGAAAATGGAAAAATAAGATAAAAATTTTCGTACACCACGTTCACTTGATCCGAAAATCCTGATTTTAATTTCGCCCACATGGAGCAATTCTTTCGAGGAAAAATCTCTCGAGGGGATGAAATGAAATCGTGGACTTTCACCATGTTTTTTGGATAAATGCAACAATTTCATCTGCGAATATTTTTTATAATAATATACTTTCCGTATACTTAAGTATTTTAAAGATTTCATCTTTTCACCGTTAATTGAATTCATATAAAGTGTACGAAGACTTTTTTACATCATTGTACATCATCGGCTTCAATCCTTTACGCTTGGACTTTGCTCGAGTCCCCTAATTTTTACAACACTTTGTATTGCGTGAAAGAAAGAATGAAACGCGCGAACTCGTACAAATTCGATTCCTTGGAGAAAAAGAAAAAAAAAAAAAAAAGAAAAATTCCGAGTCGCGCATCTCTTTGCGTTCCTACGTTCTATAATCTCGCGTCCCGGAGAACAATCGTTGGGAAGCTCTTTTTCTCACCTGATCGAATAACATTGCTACTATGATATTCGATTTTTCACTCGAGAGAGACGTACTCTGTAACACCGATTGTACGACTACCATAACGATTGTAATACTATTTCCACTGATAATAAAATATTCTTTTGATATAATTGTTCCACCACGATGACGAGCGGTCGTGTACCACCCTGTACATTATCATCTCTGCCGACGAAACGCTCACCTTCTCGCCGATTATCAATCAAGCTTGAAGTATTGATATTAAGGACAACATTTTGAGCAACTTTTTCCTATGCATATAACCGGTGAATGGCCTTTTAGTTTCCGAGTTTTATAAATGTAATTTTTCACGGATGAACGGATTAATGATGATCGCACGCTTATTGCTTGTCATTTTCAGAATCTCGTGTGCTGCGCCAGCGACGTGCTGGAAGGAGGTCGAGGAGTGGTACGTGTGGCTGTCACGGTCTCGGAGCTGCTCAGGTTCCATCAGTCACGGTCACCGTTGCAAACCACGTCATCCTCGAACGTGCCGAACCACGTGTCCGCTTAGCGCCAAACGATATAAAGACGATGAAATCGGATAAATAATCTTGTCGACCATGAAAGAAAGACGGACCCGCGGCCATGTTTTTCCCGATCGATGTGTGTACCAAGGAAGAATGGACACCGACACCAACGTCTTGTCATTCGTTTTTCTATTACTCGAGACACGTGATTTCGTTGCACGTACAGGCACAAACGAGACGAGACGTTTCTCGGGTCCAACTTCTCAAGATCGAACAATAACGCTATAGAGGATCGATAATCTCCAGATTTTTATACTCATTACGTACGCGTCAGATACGATCGCGTGTCTGGTCGTATACCAGCGATTTTCTCTAAATCAAAAAAAAAAAAAAAAAAAAAAAAAAAAAAAAAAAAAAAAAAAAAAAAAAAAGAAAAAGAAAAAAAGAAAGAAAGAAAGAAAGGAAAAAAAAGAAACAACGACGCGACATCAAAAATATTTAACGCAACGTTAGACTGCGATCAATCATGACACTTGATTTATTATAAGAAATACTATACGAAACTTTTATATCGGAAAAACAAAAACGTATCTTTGTACGAGAAAGAGAAAAAGAAAAAAAGTAGCAGGAAACTAGGATATAAAATTAAAGCCTAGTTTCATAAAAGAAATAAGATATGAACGCGCGAACAGCCGTATTAAAGAGAAGTTAGTAAATATCGGAGACACTTTCTCGGGCTCGATTTTGCGAGATCTCGAAGCAATGAAAAAAGTTCCTACCTGCATATTGATTAACGCGTATCATATTTTATAGTTCTTATATCGATATTAGAGCCAAGCATTATCTCTAGCAAGATAATTGTTTTCGGTGATTCTGAGGAAAAAGTCGTAATTTTACGAACTTTTTTCGTTGTGTTCCACCGTTCAATCCCAATAAAATGTCTCCTATATCTATTAACAGCCTGTATATCCGTGCTTTCTAATAGCTGGTAATTACGAGGCATTTCGATATCGTAACGTGGAACAATAATCGATCGATCAAATCAAAAAAACGCGATGAATGATAAAACAAATTTTGCGCTTGATCAAAACATACCTATTGGAATTTTATCGATATTTAAATTAACTTGCAATTAAGTATCTTGTGAATCGAGCATGCATATGTAACTAAAAGATGAATTCGCGTAGTTTAAAACGAAATCCAGATTGATAAAAATTTTTACGCGAACCAATTCAATTATTTTGTTTTACGAACGATATTTGATTCGTTTGTTCCGCGATACTTTAACGAGATTTTGTTCCCCTCCAAAGAAAATACTAGGAAGCTGAACCAATCCAACCTTTAAATCTCAGAACGATGCATACACAATCTACTGCGGATTAAGTAGGTTTCTGCGCGAACGAATGGTAAGTTAGTTAGTACGTTTCCAATATAACCGACGATCGATAACAAGCTCGATTGAGAAAATTTTGATCGTCGGCAACGATCTCGAACGAATCGTTGATATATCAAATATCATTCATACTTTTATGTAAAATTAAGGCCTAGGTGTTCACAAAAATATGTATCGTTAACGTTGCAATTTTCTTTTATCTAATAGGCGATACTAAATTATTTTATTCTTTATTATTTTATAGTTTCAACGCATATTCGATATCGAGTTGTATCTTTTATCCTTGAAACGACGATTCCAACTACTGCCACGATTTCATAATATAATTTCTTGAAACGATAAAACCCCGTTAGGTGCTAAACGTAATATCATTAATTGTAATTTCTTATATTCGTCGCAAACTTTGTTTATTCTGTTTTTTTTTTTTTTTTCATTTTCATTTTTATTTCATTTTCATTTTTATTTCGTTTAATTTAGGAATGATCGCGTAGAAGGAATTACGAAGGATCTCATATGTCGTGATCAGTAAGGAATCGAGCGATTACGTCTCGGTATCTCGTCAGAGTGTTCCAACGAATAATGCGCGTTACCGATCCGAGCTCACCCCGACGAGATATCCAATGTGGAAGATTGTACCGTGTATTCGTATTTATTGTGCCAAAGATATATATATATATATTAATTTTTTCTCTCTATTTCTCATCAAGGACGAATCTTTGCAGGTAAGCAACGATGTTTATGAAATAACGTCGAAGAAAAGAAGACGACTACTACGATATATCGAAGATCGTTCGACAAGATTTTGGAGTAATGGAATAAGACGATAAAGACGATCATCGTGCCGCTTTGTCTGTCTATCGAACGTCCTAATCTCCTGCGTCGAGTTCCAAGTGGAATTAGACGCGATTCGTCCTTTGATCACGGCTGCATTATCGTACTCAACTTTTCACATGTCTCTTTTTTTCGATTTTTCCTCTCTCTCATTCGTTCTCTCTCCGTTTCCCCTTTCTCTTCCCTTCTCGCTCCCTCAACCCCCCAATTTCACATTTACGTTTAACTGGACCAGCACTTCTCGTTTATAGATATATATGCGAATTCGTCAAGCGACGCATCGCTGCGGAATTGTATCGTTCGCTCAAATTACGTTCGCGTTTCTCGAAAAACGAACGCGTTGCTAAATTGGCCAGCCGTTTGAAACGTCTCGATCGACCGGCTATCGTTATCAGCAGTATTATCCAATTAACCCACCGATACAGGCCTTTTTAAACGTGTTCCGAAAAAAGAATCTTCTATCCACCGTTGTGATTACCGTGTTCCATCCAGTCGATCGATTCGTATTCGAACTCGCTCGCCCTCTCGATTGATACCTAAATACACCGCACGTAATATATTTAAAGATTAACGGATACAGTGTATAAAAAAAAAATAATAATAATAATAAATCGAAAAAAATCGACGTACGTCCAAAATTGTTTGCTGCATTCATCCTAGGAGAACCTCGATCCCACTGTTCATCGTCGAAATTTACAAAAAGGATTACAAACGATCTCGCGGTTCTCCGCAACGTTCTTCGATCTCTCGCGATGGACGGACGCTAGTCGAAAAATTCGAGCGAGGCTAAGAGAAGAGAGAGAGAGAGAGGGAGAAATGGTTTGGTAGTCGGACAATGAGAGGTCGATCAAAGCAACGGAGAAACGACGTGGGTGGACCATGGTAGGCGGAGTTGAAACCTCGAGAAAACCTCCATTTTGTTCGAGGAGGGCGGTCTCGGTGTTCCACCTTCCCCTCTACCAGGTGGTACCACCTTGGGACACGATCGACCCTCCTCGAGGTGGAGGGAACTCGGACGCGAACATTGCCGAACAGGAGTTCGCGATACGCGTGTGCTTGCTGCCGCTTCTCGTATCCGTTCGTCGCGTGGTTCCGTGGAATCCGCGGCTTCGTCATTCTCACCTGTTCCTTCGACCCTTCGTCGACAACTGTCAAGTCGGGCGATATTCTCACTTTTTTCCGAACCGATTCGATTCGAGACGAACCGTGATTCCGTCGGCCATCGACTTTTGGTGATCTTTCGTCGTGTCGTCGCGCAATTCTTGTTCTCTCTGTTGAAATGTGGAAATGAAGGAAAAGAAAAGGAAAGGAAAGGAATGTGATAGATATTTGGAGAGTTTGATGACGACGAGAAGTATAATCGACGGATAGAGGAAGGGAGAAAGAAAGGGAGAAGAAAGCGATGATCGTTGATCGAGGTATTGATCCGATTCAATCGTGGAATCGGATGGATCGAGATAAATTCGCCTCCCGTGAAATTCTTCGTATCTTCGAGCGATAATCACAACAGAAGGAAAGGTCGAGCGACAAACACGACTCGATCCCCGAGCTCCATTGATATTAGGTAACGCGCTACAGTACGTATACAAACATCGTGTACGAAGGAACAATATACTGGCAGTACGATACACCGATTCTATTAGTGCGCAATGTTACGCGCCGCTGTTAACAATCGCGCCGAGCGTTTTCCATTCTTATTCCACGTTTCGCGGGATTCTCAAGAGGATATGGATTCAACCGAATTTCCAAGGATAGTAGAATTTTCGAGATCGAGCAACAGATTTGCGAGGATCGAAATCGGAATGTGTAAATTCGTCGAGTCGCAAAATCTAATTGAATCGAACTGATTGATTTACGCTTAAATGTAGGATAAATATCAAATTTCCCGTGTACTCGATCGAAGGAGATCGATAAGAATTTGATATTCGATTGAAAACGCGATAAGAAGAGCACATGGTCGATTCGTATCGCCCGTGGCGACCACATTTCAAGTTTGCGTTCGTATACGCGAAACCAATTCATCGAAGTCGACGACCATCGACCGTTGCAAACGAATCGTCGAACCTCCTCTGAACGTTCGTCACGAGCTTTTCAACTGTGTCTTGAAGAACGACAAATGTCTCTCTACGAATCTCGTCTTTCTCTACGAACAATCTCTAGAGTTCTCCTCGAGCACGAGAAGTTATCGAAACACGGAAAGTGAAGAGTAGAGCGATATTATTTTTACACTCGGCGATAATAATAAAAGATCGGATCACGAAGTACCGATACGAATCGTTAAAGATTACCGATTATATTACGCGGTGTTTACGATGCGGACCGACGAAAGAACGGTGAAATATCGTCGTACGTTGTGAAAGGGACGTCGATCCGTACATGCCTCTGTTCTTCCCTTCGCCACGATTCGACCAGTGAAAACACTCGCGGCGGGCAACGATGGATCTCAGTACGACGCCGAGAAGAATAACGGAGGGTGTGGCAGACCTTCAGAAGACCCGCGTCGCGAAAAGCGTCTTCAGTATCCGGAGTTTGGTCGATGTAGGGGACACGGATCTTTCCGAGGTCGAAGACAACGAGAAGATACAAAGTGAGTTGTTCACGCAACGATCTTTTTTTCTTTCCCCCTCCCTCCCGTCCTACGAAAGGCTTGTTGACGAGGCATATACACGATCGTTTATGTTATATGTAATTCTCTCATTCTCGTATACGATATAGAATACGATAATTCGTGTAAACACGACTCATTCAAAAGGGATTAGCAACTCGAGTACGAATGCCCCCGATATCCCCCCCCCTCCCGATTCGATCGAAGCGTCTGCCTCTCCGGTGTCAGAATTCCAGGGCGTCGTCATCGATCCCTTGGAGGCCATTTTTCCTCCCAATGATCGGAAAGAGATCGGGACGATCGATGAGACGAACGTTCTAGGAACCGCGGAGCCGTTCGACATTCCACGACCAAGAAATGCTCGTTGAAGAGAACTTTTTTGCGGGCGAGCGCCTTTTGTGCCCGCTGCTTCGCCGGGAACAACCAGTCCTTGTAGAGCAATCGAGTCAATTAAGGCTCACTTATACTCGGTAAATTGCGATAAGACGACGATTAAGTTGAAATTAGTTCCCTGCCCCCCTGGGGCCCGGCAAAAAGTGTATCAATGTCGTTATTGCCGACACGTATCGAAGGTAAATTAATACTCGTTTCCGACCGCTCCAATTAAACGTTACACGAAACGAGCTGGCTTTCTTTGCTCCAACCACGGATTGATCGGACGGATCGGTCGTGGGTTTCTCGGATGGATCGGAGGGTTGCGGAGATTTCGACGCCACGTTTAGATTCCCGCTTTTATCGTTCCCGCATCATTCTTTGGATTTATTCGTATAATTTTATTATTTTTCGATATAAATAAATTGTAGCTCAATATATCGCGTCAATTTGGAAAATTGGCCGAAGAATATCTCTATCTACTCGAAAGAAACATTTACATTTAGCAATGGAGCTTAACGAGTGTTCGGTTTTTCTGGGTGTGTATGTATATATATATATATATATATATAATCACAATTACGAATTCTACCGATATGAATCTAACGTCTAAACATATTTAACGTTTTAAATATAGCAACCCTGAAGACCTATAATTTGCATAATGGGTGCAGGCATATTGCTCATTTGCTGCACTAGTGACAATTTAAAAACTTATTATATTTTAATTATCGGATATAGAAATAATCATTTTTTTAATGATATAGTTTGATAAAGTTAAGTAAGAAAGATAATCAACGTAATTGTTAATAATTTTGAACAAAAAAGAAAATGAGCAATTTATTTACCAGATATGCAAACAACAACAAAGAACTCGTCAATGTTTCGTGTAATAATTCTAGAAAACAATTCGAGATGTAAACAAGAAAATCAAAAATTCGTCTATCACGTACGTTTGATTTGTTAAAGGGGACATCGCGCGTGACAAGAGATCGAATCTCTCTCTTCGTGGAAATTCATCGCTCGAGATTTCGAAACGTGGCGCGGAAACGCGTTCGACGCGACTCCTAGCCGAGGCGAGTTCCTAGGCTGGTCGATATGCAAAATAGCCGGCGACCGCGATAACTCGCGTTACTCGACTTTCCTCTCTCGCAAAATAAATAGCAAATTACCATTTAACCGTTGGCGATAAAGCGAAACGAGCTCAAGCGATAACGGAATCTCATTCTACGGGCATACCGTATCGCTTCGTTATCGGGTAATTAACAAGATAGCGCGCCGATTAACAAATTACGAACGCGGGGTCGTCATCGAGACGGTGTTGCCCTCGCGCGCTTTAGCGATCGCCTCTATCGCTTGTCCTTGTCGATCAATGAGCTTTGGTAAACAGTTCGTAATACAACATAAACCCTGAAACGGTTTACGCTTGGATAAAAATATGCAATGTGTAATAATTTTTTTTCAACTAAAATTTGAAACATTGTAATTCGATTTTCACCGACAAATTTGCGACCTATTATCGTTCGATCGTTAACAGCTCCTTTATATAGTTAATTTAAATGGAATAAATAGTCCACAACGATCGATAAATTTTATAAAAAAATTAGGAAAGAAATACTATATAATTATCTTTCTATATATTTTTATGGTTAAAAATTACAAAACTCATTTACTCGTCGTTTACTCGTATAAATCATTGCGCTAATTATCTTTTTTTTAAAATATGGAAAATATTATTAAGCCAAATCGATTTCACGTTTTTTACATTTCAATCGATACGTATTTTTTATTTTTTCTAACAGTTTATCTGTTAGAAAAAAAGGAAAAACAAATATAGAAAAATAATTAATAACAACAACAACTCTTCTAATAGTTAATTAATAATTGATTCTTAATGCGAAAAAATGTCTTGAAATTATTCGAAAACTTTCAACGTTCGTCAAACGAATCGTTTACCTTATGGATCGCGTTTTGTGTAACGCGATCGCTTGCCTCTCCTCCCTAAATTTATCCATAATTTTCGGAAATACGGTTTAAACGGTGGGATTAATCGGTCGCTGCACAACGGTTCCTCCACCGTTGGCCGGAAATGGCGACCAATGAGGATCGTCAGCCCAACGAGACCGTTCGAACGAGGGGGTGATTCGCGGTCGATTGGCTTCGAGGCAGGAGGGTCGTCGTTTCTCCCTATCCGAATTCAACCACCCTCCAAAAAGAAATGGCGGACCGCACGTATTTCAATCCTCATTTCCCTATTCGCGAAATAAAATAATAGTCGCGATCGAACGTGCACGGCATTTAATATCGTCAAATATTTCGAACGAGGTTCGAGAAGGGCGGTGTAACAACCGGTAACGAACAACGAGCGAGCTGATTGCGAAAAAAAAAAAAAAAGGACACCCTTCTCTCAATAATGCGTGGCAAGGAAGCCATAAATAACCGGAGCCGGAGTTTTACGCGTGCGTACAGGATAGAGAGTGGCGGGATCCGGTGATTGGTCGGCTCGGTAGAGCCGCTAATTGTGTTTTATTAGCGTTCTCTTTCCCCTCGCCGCGAAACATCCGCGATCCACGCTAACTAACCTCCGCCCATGTACTAACTATAAACGACATTGTTATTAAGACTCCTTACGCTGTATCTAAGGGCCACACAACTGCTCGCGTGCGTATAAAACGCGCGTGGACACGCCGCTCGCTACCTCTTCGCTCGCTCGTTAAGGGCTGTTAAGAAGAAGAAAGTGTATATATATGTATATATTCGAGGCCTCCAACCAACCCTATTCGTCGATCATTCGTTCGACGAATAAAAAAAATCATTTTTCAAGTCTTCAAATTGTTTTCTTCCTTCGATCGCGAGAGGAGAAAGAAAAAAGAGGATGTTTGGAAGTTTCGACGAGAACGAGGTAAACTCGAATTCGAAAAAGAAGGCGGAGACAAGCTCGCCAATTTTCTTTTCGTCCTCTCGGGGGGAGAGAGGAGGGGAGAGACTGGTAGGGGGGACGAGAGGATTCTACAAAAGGACAAGAAGAAGTAGAAGAGGAGATGCGGGAGAAGAAAGATGAAGAGGAAGAGGAGGAGGAGGAGGAGGAGAAGGAGAAGGAGCGTAAAAGGGGCGAGGGCAAGTCTTATTACGGCGAGCGGAGTCGGGCATGCTGGTGCAATCAAATAAATTAGCCGGAATTACGCGACTCGCGAACCGATGCTAGTGTAGGCGCACACCACACTCGTCCTCGCTACCAATTAGCAAAGCTTTATCCTCGTTTGGGCCTCGAGCATATTTCACCTGGGCCCAGTTACCTATCGTTTTCCGAGAAATTCGTCGCTTCGCTCTCCGGACCATCGTCATCGTTCCTTCGAGATTCGCGCCCAATTCTTCTCCCCTCGGTTTTCAGAGATCTCGGCCTAGTAGTTTAGTTAATGTTTTCGATCGTCGACGATATATTTCTCTCGAATATTTATTCGTTCGTTAACTGGCCGATGAAAGGAAAAAAAAAGAGAGAGAGAGAAAGGGATGAATTCTCGTTCAAAACAACACGTTTGAAGGCGATAAGGAAGTGGTGGTGCAGTCATAGAAACGCGTACCGATTCCCTTCAGCGGCGAAACGACGCCATTTATTCCTCGTGGAGAAGGAGGGTTCTATATCTTGGCGGATGCTGGACTCACGAGCGAAGGGGTTAATCGAACGAGTTGGAGCGCGCGCGAACATGGACGCGGAGTCCATCCATTCTCCGAACGCGGGCCCATTAAAGCGCATTACTCGGCTAATACTCGATTGTAAAATAGAACGAGGGGGGGAAGAAAAAGAGAAAGAGGAAAGGAGGAACTGGAAGGGACGGAGATATAGAGGAGAGAAAAGCTTATCTATGGCGGAACATCGATCTTTGGCGCGGCTCCGTTTCAAGAGGCCGCGAAACCGTTCCGCTCGTGTAATAAACGCGGTCTAATCGGTCTAACGAGCCACGATCCTCGTGGGAGTGAGGATGAGGAGGCAACGCCGCAGCACAGTTTTCTAGGTTCGGGCTTAATAACGGTAACAATATCGAAAACGAACGAGAACGCGTCGCGAACCGAAACGGTTACCGCGTATTCTTGCGTGACGCGTTATTAGCCGATTGCCTCATTAATCGCTCCGTCGGCTCGAGACAGGCCGAGCCACCCTTCCACCTCCCCACCGTTTCCATCCATTTCGATACCGAGTAATTGCTAATCGCTAATTGCGAGCTCAAACACTCCATCCAATTAACCCTCCCACCACTCGGATTAGACTCGACGCAACAATGTTTCACCACCGTCCCCCCATTATTTTTCACGTTTCACCCTCGATCTCATCCCTCCTAGTTTGAACCGAAAGCCTTGGCGAGCTCCCATCGATCGTAAATTACCACCGACTTTTCCACCGTGACGAGTCCATTAGACAATTCTCCACTATATCTTTATCCTCTCCTCTCTGCTCGCTTTTCCCTCGAAAAAAAAAAAAAAGAGGAAGGAAGATGAAGGGGCTTTCGAACGAGCCTCGTTTCGAAAACTATACTTTCCTTCGTTTTTATTTTAACGATCACCTGTTAACTCCTCGGGGCTGCTAATCGTTGCCGGAATATATCGGCGTCATG